GGCACCGGCTTTGTGGCCTAGGCAGATGATTGAAACGTGCGCTCTCAGTCACGGGGAAGCGACTTTAGCTTCCTCTGTCTGTTTGGGGATCTCACTAGAAAGTTCAGGGGAACCGGGAGCAAACGCTGTTGTGGGAAGTGCTGTAGCTGTTCTGGGATCAACCTTCAGATGCACAGTTTGAACCATCTGTTCGATGGAGTTTACTCCACACACATCAGCTGGGAGCAAACTGGGGCAAGTTTTAAAACTTAACCTGCCTAAAGTCAGGCATCAAATGTGAAAATTTGGCCTTGTTCTCCCTAAAGTTTTCCACGTCAGGAATGCACATCACCAGCTGTTCACGCAGCCACTACTAACCCTTACAATAAATGCTGAGAGAACATTTGGTGCTGTGCAAGGCAAAGACAGAGCTCACATCATTGGCTTTGGAGCAGGGACCATCTGCTACTCTGTCTGTACCACACCTAGTGCGGTGGGGTTCTTGGCTGGCCCTTAGAAAGAATCATATTTATTCTGATAGTGCCTATGTTACACAGACAAACAGACACAGGTATTTGACAGTCTGACAGTCAGAGATGCGTAGGGATGTTTGCGGATTTGCACAGTTTAACAAAGGGGACTAGATTAGCTGTTTCATTATTAACCCAAACAAGGGCAGTAGTACCAGTAACATATGCCACAGCCTCGGGTCAATAATAGATGTATTTTGATTAAACGTTTTGCAGGAACTTAAGCAGTTAAAAAAAGCTGCATTTGTACCCACCCTTAAGATGCTTCCTTTCGCCAAGTCACACAACTTCCGTTGTTCCAAAGACACCCCTTGGTCAGCATGACCCTGTTAGCGATTTGTCTCTTATTCAAGTAACAGACATTTTCAGTACATTGCTCACCTTCAAACGTGAGATTAAATAATGTCTGGACAATAGAAGTGTGTTTCTTTAACCCCATCCCTGAGGCCAGTGGATAAGAGTTAGAACTGCTGAACCAGCAGAGACTACTAACAAATAAAGTAACCTGTTATTCTTATACTGTGTTCGTGTCATCCTGAGATGAGCTTAATGAGAGCGTGGGGTTGAGATCCCAGCTATCAGAATATCTCTGGGATGCTGAGCCTCTCTACAGAGATGTGTGTACAAACGTGTGTACAAACATGCACACACGTGCCTAGTGTCAAGATACACACCAGTAAAGTGTCCATGACTTAGGGGGCTAGTTGAGAGGTGGTATTATCTAGGGTAGTGTTTAGAGAACAAGAGTGCGAGGTTGGGGTCTATTAGTTCTAGTCCCGATTCACCAAATCCTAATGGCAATACATTGGTCTCTCTCTGTTCTAGTTCTCTCATCTGGGAATAATGAGGGGGCTGAGATGGTGTTTAACTTCTTCCATACAAAGATCCAATGAAATGCACAATGGGGCAGCAGGAGAATGATTCTGGGAGTAGAGGGGCCCCCATAAAAACTAAGATACAGGAGATGTCTAGACAAAGGCTCTGTACCTTTGGACTTGGAGGCTCAGGGTCAGCATTCACCCACGAGCGCCTCTTGCGGGACTTTTCTCCTGCAGGAGAGAATGTTAAGATGACAGTTTAACTCTGGAGGTGAGAAAGGGGCCTGTGTGCAGCTGAGTCAAAGGTCTAATCCCCAGCCCTCTTTCCCTCTGGGAAGCCACCCAAGGAAGAAAGCTCCCCCAGCTGGTCTGAAAGCTTGGAGATGGTTCTGAGAGAGGTTGGACACAGCTGGCCTGGTTTTGGGGACATCTTGTCTGGACTATACATGACCTGAGTGTACTGAGGGTGCTCAGAGTGGGCTGGTTTGCATAGCTCTCCCTCCACAGAACAGGTATAGCACAGAGAGGACAGTGGTAGCTTCCCCATGTTCACGTGCAAGGACACTTGTAGGGTACACAGGCCACTTGATACTGGGCTGCCAACAAGAATGGGACCCTTGGAGACTCACTATCTCCTTTCACCCGGGCTGCTGAACGGTCACCCGGGATAATGATGCGTAACCACTACTGGATTCAGGGCAGTGAGCTAGAGTTTGAGAAGAGCATCGCTTGTTTCCTTAACCTTAATAATTCCACAGCAAGCGACGGATCTCCCTGCCTCTCCCAACCCAACCAGAAGCAAGAGAACCCTGCAAAGCATGGAAGAGTAAAGCTGATGTTCACCTTTCGGGGCCATAGGTCCAGGCTCCCCCTGCAAAGGAAGAAAAAGCTTTTAGACAGTGCCTTAGCCCAATGCAAAGGGCAGTTCAAACCCCCATCAGGCATCAAAGGTCTCAGCAATGCTGCCAGACCCTGCAGCAGGGCACCCGTAAATTAGCCAGAGCAACAGGCAGTGACAGAATGGCGTCTTGGAGCAGCAGTAGCTCACTCAAAGTAGTGTAAAAGCCCAAATGTTGGCACCCTAGACTTGGTGTTTGTCTCATCCATTTCTTTCCACCCCCTCCTCCAAGTTGCCCAGGTGAGCGGGACAGGATTTCTTGAGCTCATCCGGTCTCCTTGCTGGTGAGCGGGAGAGATCTCCGAGTCTCTACGTTTAAGGATAAGGCCTTTTCTTGTAGCCATATGGTAAGGCCTAAGGCCTTTGTCTGCAGCCATATTGAGAGCAGCAGCCATTAGCTAAGAAGCAGGAAGTCACATCCTCACTTTCCATCTAAATTACATTAAAACAATGTAGCATCTGGCTGTTCAGAAGGAGAGCCTGTCCTAATAGCACCCACTAGCACCAGATAAAGAAACTGATCTTAAGATGGCTAAAGAAAACTTAGTTTGACAGCATTCTGTCTGGCAAGAAATCACTTATCAATACTTGTGGTTGTGAAATTCTCACTTCTTTATTGTTTGGTCTTTATTGTCCCCACTTCCCTATTATTTGTCTGTATTATCTTTGTCTGGTTCTTTGATTGTTTCTGTCTTACATAATTAATTTTGCTAGGTGTAAATTAATTAAGGTAGGGGGTATGATTGGTTAGAGAATTTTGTTACAATATGTTAGGATTGGTTACTAAAATTTTAGTAAAATGATTGGTTACGGTATAGCTTAGCAGGACTCAAGTTTCACTACATAAACTGGGATCCAAAAGAAAGTTCTTGGGAACCAACTCCAGGACACAGCCCCAGGATCAGAGCTGCCGGACCTCAACACACCGCCAATCACACCGTGCAGAAACTGGAGTCCCCCAGATGATCTGATCCTGATTGACCAGCAGGGAAAGTTCATCTGTCTTATTGGGAGTGGTGAGCATTGTATGTGTAGCATGTGCATTCTGTTTTGGTGACTTAATAAATAGAGCAGGGGTCAGCAACCTTTCAGAAGTGGTGTGCCGAGTCTTCATTTATTCACTCTGATTTAAGGTTTCGCGTGCCAGTAATACATTTTAACAGTTTTAGAAGGTCTCTTTCTATAAGTCTATAATATATAACTAAACTAGTGTTGTATGTAAAGTAAATATGGTTTTTAAAATGCTTAAGAAGCTTCATTTAAAATTAAATTAAAATGCAGAACCCCCCAGAGCGGTGGCCAGGACCCAGGCAGTGTGAGTGCCGCCGAAAATCAGCTTGCGTGCCGCCTTCGGCACCCGTGCCATAGGTTCCCTACCCCTGAAATAGAGGTTAAGGATATTACTGTGTAAGGCTCTTTCACTGGTAAAAGACCCTGTAAACCCTCAAAAGATTAGGCCCGGAGTCCAGAGGGAATGGGTGTTTGCTCCGAGCCTGGAGGAGTAGAGCCTGGAGCCCACAGAGGGGTAGTGTTAGAGTGCCTAAATTAAGAGCATTACACCTGAGCCATAGGAACTAGGTAGAGGTGGGTGCTCTCTAGAGTGTGCAAGTGACAGAGAATTTTGTGCGGGTAACAAAGGGACAGACTTTGTTCTAGGCTTAGCTAATGTTTCCTGGTGATGCAGAGCGGGACGGGCTGGATTCTCTCTCCTGTGGGCCTGGGGCTATTAGATTTTGTGGGACTCCTGGGGGTTTGGAGTGGGGAATGGGCTCAGGGCTGGAGCAGGGGATTAGGGTGCAGGGTGTAGGCTCTGGCCGGCGGCACAACAGGGCAAAGGCAGGATCCCTGGCTCCACGCTGCCAGGATGCCTGCCCTGGCTCCACGCTGCTCTGCTCCCAGAGGTGGCTGACATGTCCAGCCCCTAGGCAGAGGGGCCAGGCTGCTCTGCGCGGTGCACACTACCCGTGCCTGCAGGTGCTGCCCCCGCAGCTCCCATTGGCCACAGTACCCAACCAATGAGAGCTGCAGAGCTGGTGCACAGAGATTCCCTGAACACCCCCACCTAGGGGCCGCAGGAGCACATTGGCTAGCTGGCGCTCGCAGCTCCAGGGTGGGGCACCGAGGCTAGGGGACAGGTGTCCGGCCTGCAGCACCGAGACTTTCCGTGGGCCGGATTAAAAGAAGCAGTGGGCCACACCTGGCCTGCAGAGCCCCCCTTAGCCCGAGGCCATGGGCTGCAGCCCCAAAAGCCCCTGCATTAGTCCAGCCCTGGGGTAGGCGTCCTGCCGGTCTCCTCTTGCAGCAGGGTCAAGCCCCACGGTAGGGACAGCAATCATGAGTCAAGCCCTGCCAAATGCAAGACCACCGCAGTTCATACCTGAAACCAGATGGTCCTGCCATTGCCATCATGCAGCGACCTCATGCCAGGGACACAATAACACTGCAGCCACTCCTCAAAGGCCGCGGCATCATCAGAGGGCTCCGGGCTGTAACCCTTCCCCCCTGGTGTGACACAAAAATGAGCATCAGGGAAAACTCTCAGCTACAGGGTTCCCCCTGCAACTCCAGAAGTGAGGGGCTGATCAGCTGTGGGCTTTGCTCTCTGCTACAGTGACCCCTGCTGGGGGCAGCAGCAATGCTCAGCTACAGCTTTCTGAACCCTTCCAGGGGCTCCCTCTCACGTACCCCATGTGGGATGGCCTGGAGATGGATTTGCACCTCTCCAGCCTGCACACACGCAGTTTGAAAGCATTCAGCTCTCTGAAGCTTGGTGTTTTTAAGGGAGTGCCTCTATTTCCACACCAGCTGGAGACATCGACTGCTCTGATAAGCCAAGAGGTCGATTTCTCTTGTATCTGGGCTCACTCGTCTTTCCTTTGCATCTCCCCCAATGTCTGCAGCTGTCTGGCTCGCTCACCACAGTCAGAGTGCAATGCACTTAGCTCTGGCGGGGCGGAGGGGGTCTGTCTGCTGAAATCCTCAGGGGAAGTCTGGGCAAAACCTACAGCAGGCTGAAGCAGAGGCAGACCCAAAAAGGATGCAAGAGAGGGAAAATAATGGATGGGCCATGGGGCCTCTCCTCGCTTAGTCCCAGAGACAGAGTCAGAGACACATCCTAGCTGGGACAGGGAGTGAAGTCTGTCCTGTGCAATCAACTGTTGTGTCGGGAACACTGAGCAGGGGGACAGTACATGCACCTGCTCTCTGCTCTTCAGCGAACAGGGCCACCATGGGTCTCTCCTATTATTGACTTTACAGTCAGGAGGGACCATCAGGATCATCTAGTCTGACCTCCTGCACATTGCAGGTCACAGAACCTCACCCACCCACTCCTGTACCGGCTGAGTTACTGACGTCCTCAAATCAGGATTTAAAGACTTCAAGTTACAGAGAATCCACCACTGACACTAGTTTAAAACCTGGAAGCGAACCGTGCCCCACACTGCAGAGGAAGGCAAAAAATCCCCAGGATCTTGGACAATCTAACCTGGGAGAAAATTCCTTCCTGACCTCAAATATGGTGATCAATTAGAGCCTAAGCAAGTGGGCAAGACCCAGCAGGCAGACCCCTGGGAAAGAATTCTCTGTAGTAATGCAGAGCCCTCCCCATCGAGTGCCCAGTCTCTGGCTGCTGGGGATTTTTGCTACTGGCCTATGACAATAGTTACCCATTGAAATCCAAACAATTTCAGCGTTTGAAAAAAACTGGCGCGCCCCACGCAGCACAAAGGGCACATCTGGTGTCATCCTGCTGCTCACGCAAAGGCCCAGCTCCTCCCACTGGCATTAAATGCCCAGCCCGAGCGTTTTCATACAGCGCCCCTGCTTCCTGCTACCCCCACCCCAAGCCACCCCAGCAGGGCTCTGTCCCACCCCTCCCCCGTCACTGAGTGTCTGCCCAGCTGGAGGCAGCAGGGATCCAATCCCAACTTCAACATCTCATTGCACCTCCTCCTGCTGGTGCGGCTGAGTCACCCCCACCCACAGGCTCCATGGCCCGTTGCAGGGCAGGAACCCGGGGCTGTGCTCCCTGAGCTGCCTCCTTACCCATGTGAATGACCTCCATGGGCACCGCATGGCAGAGCTCCAGCAGGTCTGGATTTTCCCGCTTTAACTTCACTTTCTTGCTCAAGGTCAGGTCCGGACTCTGCTGGGTTTGAGAGGAGGAGATTCAAACAGGCAGCCCAATCACAGCCCAAGCCAACCTTCTCCTATGCAACCCTTCCCCAGCCATCCAGCCCTTCCTCCTCCCAGCAAGGGTAGGCCCAACCCTGCAATCAGCAGGTGCAGACATACCCGAGCCAGCTTGCCAATAGCCACCAGCATACACACCCCGCGTCCCAGGCAGGCTTGTATTCGGGTGGCTGGCCCGGGCACCACAGCCTCTCTGCTAGTTTTAGCGAGCCAGCGGAATCAAAGGGAGCTTGGCTATGTCGACATGGGCTGCACTTACACCTCTGACTGCGGTGTAGACCCTACTCCAAGCCCTTTGTAGCTGCTGGTCCCATTCCAAAAACAACCAGCCTAGTCCCCTCCCAGCTGTCCAGCCCTTCCTATAAGGCAACTCCTCCACGGCTGCCAAGCCATCCTGCTTCTTCCCCCCCCCCCCCACACACACACATTTCCCTTACCAGAGGCCTAAACCTGCCCTGACATGTGCTCCGACCAACCCAGCTTCCTCTCCCTCCAGGTGCTAAATGCTCCCTGTTTCCAGATGCCAGGCCAAATTCAGCCCTGGCATAAGCAGGGCTAACTCCATAGACTTTGATGCAGTTGCCCCTGCTGAGTGGGAATCTGACCTGCCTCTGTAAAGTACCCGCTTGTATACATCAGTCACTTTACCACTCCACACAGGGCTGAATTTAGCCTGGCAG